GGGTAATTAAAACACTATAAACACACATTTTTATATTATATAAACTTTGTCGCGAAAACTTATGCTGGATTTCCACTAGGCATTAAATGGCAAAAATGACAAATGACAAAGTCGGGCATTAAAAAATAATCGTGTCATTACATTAAAAAATAGTCATTAAGTTCATTTCCACATGGCATTTTTTTAAATGGCATACATTTTTTGTCATTTCAATTCCTAGTGGAAATTCGGCATTACATTGGAAGTAAAGCACGCACGAAAATAAAACGAGCAAATAAAAATTTCTGCAATTAAAATCTGCACACTTAAGTGAAATCCGGGACATTTTAAGGTTGGACCGGGACACCGGGACAAACAGTCTAAAACCGTGACATGTCCGGGAAAACCGGGACGTCTGGCAGCCCTAAAGTTGGGTCAACGAAATTCCGTTATAAGTTCAATATTTCTATTTACAAAAATGGGATACCATTGGAGAGGTAATAAATCAGGTTTTCTCTATTCAACGCGGAAATACAAGAATTTGTCTCGGTCGAAATAAAATGCAAATGAATTACTCGAAGAAAATTAAATTCCTAGTAGGCTTGAAAAAAGGAACTTTCATCAAAACCCGCATTTTCCAGCAGCTAAAATTGTGTCGTTTTAAGTCGAAGAGGAGTGACAAATAAACTGAGATAAAAGCTTTATCGAATAACTACGGATAACGAGTTTGCGGATCTAAAGAAATTAATAAATTGCTAAAAATAAATTTAAGTAAACAATATTAGTTAAAGCACGATAAAGCTAAAAGTATGGCTCATAAGCATGATTCAATAATAGCAAGGTTTTGTAATAAAGCAGTCTTCTCGCTTCCACACATAAAATCGGCTCCTTTACTTGTGCAGAATGTTGCTTACTCTACAGTTTCTAGTGATATTAGTAGTAAAACCAAAAATTCTTCATACTAAATATTCGTGAGCATCACCTTCGTTTGGGTAATTTTCTAGAACAAGTGTAGAATAGCGACCGTTTAGCTATAAAATAACCAAAATTCCGATTAATAGAACTTTTTACGCTGATTTCAACGATACCAAATTTATGTGGCGCAGGTAAAAAATAAAGAAGATAAGAGGTTTATTTGCTTTATTTATTTGTATTTTTTATTATCACTAAATTGTTGAATCCCAAAAGTAGATTATGACAAAATACGTAATATCGAATTAAAGGTAATAACTTGTACTTTCTAAACAATATAAATTCCTTTACCATTAATTATGCAGTTTTTTCAAAAAAGGTTATTTCACGAAAAAAATAACATAAATAAATAGTGGTTTTGGTTTAAAAATACAAAAATCTATAAATGATTTACATCAGCTGAAAGACAAACTAATTATCTTCATGGTGACGTCATCAGTTTTTTAATCGGTTATATAGTTCACAAGATGTTAATATTTAAAAAATCTAAAACCTGAAATTTAACCTTCTAGAACGTCTTAATTTTTCACTTGCGCCAAATAATTTTCCATTAGTTGAAATTTGCATAGCTGAACGGTCGGTGTTCTAGATTTCTTCCAGGAAATGACGAATAACTGAAATCAGAAATGCATATTTTTATGTATTGTTTAGTATTTCCATTAAAACGCCAAATATATTGCAAATTTGCATATAATTAATAATACACTTTTTGCTTCTAATTGTATACTTTGCGTACCTTTTGTAGTACCTTGCTACTACCGTTTTCGCAAAAGGCGATCACATTTTTCCCCTTTCTACCTACTTCCAAAATACAAATCTGAATAAAGGAGTGTCAAATATGAGCTGTCACAATTTACATAACCTTGTATTATTGAATCATGGCTCATAAGGATGGCTTAATGTAAACAAAGAAAATAGTTTGTCTCCTTTACATTATGCTGAACTGAATATCTGTATTACTCTTTTACATTCTTATTTGTTTACCCCGAACGACGTCGGGTGCTCTGCTAGTTTTTAATAGTGGTAGGATTATAAATATATGGCCAAAATTTCGGACTCGTGCATTCGTGCGTTTTTGAGGTTAGGTTTGTATGGGAGGTATGCGTTAAAGAAAATCGATTTTGCTAATTTTTTGTATGTTTACTTATTCCATCCTTGAGAATATATGGACGAAATTTGGGAGTCCTTTATTCATTGGTGCCCTTTTAATGCATTTTTAGGTTAGATTTGTATGGGAGGTATGCTTTAAAATAAACCGATCACACCCATTTTTCGTTTTTTTTCATGATTTATGTCCTTAGAGGTTGCATCCTAAAAATTAAAGCTCTACGCCTACTACTTCTAATTTCCTCCAAACAATGTATGGGGCTAAGCCACTGTGCGCCGGGTCGTTTTTCTAACGGACGATATAGATTTTATGACTTGGTGTTAAATATTTAACGCAAACATCTCCGAACTCGATTAGGAAGTTTTACTTCAACACTTCAACAAGGGTAATATTTTTTCGATGTAGTACAATCCTAGGGGGCAAGAGATTAAAACTCCGACCTAACTTTTTTGTTGACCACCCTATTGTGCATAAAAATTTATGTATGACCATGCACAAGCCTACACAGCATAAAATTTACAAGTTTACGGTGAGTTCGACGCCATTTCCGTATATATTGTCAATGAAGTAGTAAATAGGTCAGCTCTTACCAAAGCACTAGGTAGCTGTAGATTTCAAGCTGAGGAAACCATATAAATGAGCATTTGCTTTTAAATGAAACTTCGTACTTTGCTAATTTTCTTGTGCTTGGTTAGACAAAACTTGTAATTGAATAGTAGGTATTGGATACAACAACGTTGCGGTTGGTTTTGCCTATTAACGTAGATCATCACCCACCACGATCCAGAAAATAAAGGTCGCGCCATTCGCGGACCGCTAACCCTCCCTTCGTCGATTTGACAGCATCCACCCATTCGCTGACGTCACACAATACTTTTGTTTACATTTTCTGGTTCGTGACATTTTAGGTTATTTCAACTTCACAAATTTACAAATTGGAAAGATTTTGAGCGTTGTTTTGTTTTTTGTGAAAACTTATAAAAAAGTTATAAATTAAAGAAAAAAATGAGGTGTGCAGTGGTTAATTGTGCTAGTGTTAGTGCCAAAGGATCTGGGTGCAGTTTTTTTTACTTTTCTGGCCGACATTGAGTTGGTTGAAAAGTGGATCCAGTTCTGCCGGAGACCAACGGATTTCAACGCCCGAACCAGCGTCATCTGTGTAAAACACTTCACCACTGATGACTTCGAGAACGAGCTACCTACGAGAACCTATAAATTGAATCCGGCATCAGATCACATGCAATAAACGGCAACATTTCATTACGATGTATTTTTTATTTATTTGTTATTTGAAAATATAACACGTTCCCTTGATAAAGCTTTTTATTTATACATACTGACCTTCTGCTTCCTACCGGAAATGTTAAGCCGTATGGATAAAAACTAAGCAATTGCTTTTTTCTTGAAATTGCATACCTTTCACTTAAATTTGTTTGAACATAATATTTGAATTATTAATAAACAAGCACATGTACTTATTGCCAATAACAATTTCTATTTTATTTAGCTTTAAACTTTTCTTTATATATTTATGATTACATAAATCGGTTCTTTATTACACAGGATCATCTCTACTAATTTTGAAAAAAAGTGAAACTAAGTGAAGTAATTTTATTATTGGCAGAATTAGTGTCTAACCCTACGTGACTGCTTCTAAAAGCTATCGTGTTTCACGTGGCATATAAGACTTAATTTCATTATTACATTAGTGTTTTTTATATGTATGTATATGAATAGGATATTATATATTTATGTATTTAAAAACCCACAACTTTAAGACCGCGCATCTGAACTTGTTAAAATCTTGCCGTGTCACAAACATATTCGTTATTATATAAGGAAAACTACGAAGAATATGAAAAAGAATATCAGTACTGCGAAGATTTTTATCAGTTTGGAAGTACTTCAATATTTCACCATGCGCCGCTTCTATGTTCAATTCGGCATCTTGTATGTTTGTATCGATACGCTCCACAATCTCCTCTTGCTCCTTAACCATATGTGCTGATTGTTGAAATATACCGCCTAGCTCGACAATAGTCGATTCAATGTTCTGCATAGTCTCAGCCCGCTGTTGCACGTAACTATCGGAGTCATCATATAATGCAATCTGCTGCTGCGTCTGAATTCCACTACCTCAGACTGCACCCAGCAATGGTGTTGTATCACTTGCGGCCATGTCAATGCTTACGGCCGTATTCTCTTCGCTTAACAGCAAGGAGCCCTGTTTCGCTGTACTCGAGCGAACAGTGCTAGCAGCAATTGGTGACTGCCCGAATTGGTCCCGACGCGCTTTTTGTTGGTTGAGATTTTTTATACGCACTTCTAGTATCTGTTTGAAGTCGGTGCCCATGCTGGCTAATTTAGATTGTAACCAGGGTTGCCACTGGAAAAAAATAAAACTTACCATCCAATTGAAAAAAATCTACCATATCTGGAAAAAATCTACCAATATCATTTTAGTTATTTCAATAAAAAACTTACAGTTTTCTAATAAGGAACATTTTATTTAACTACGCTTTTGAGATCATATAAGTTTTGTTTCATAAAGAATGCAGATATTCGGTTTTCGATCAATACAAACTTAAAGCTTAACAATTTATACATGTATGTAAAAAAAAGGAAGTGTGTGTAAAATTAACATTTTGAAAATTTACAAGAAATACGTATAAAAATACATGTACCTACATATGTGTGATTATTCACATTACCCAAGGCACATACAATTTTTGGAAATATGCTTTTTTTTCAAAATATTCCGTTTATTTATATCTTGAAAATGCAATTGTGAATGTTGTTTCCAGAAACCCGCGATAAAGCATTCAATATAAAAGCTTGAAAAATTGTTTGCTTCACTTAAAAACAAATTCATCATTAAGGGCCTTTGGTAACTTTAACTAAAGTATGTACGTATGCACTTATGTATGTATTTACTTGAATGCTTCATTTGCACACCACACATAGTGTGGTTCGATTTTTTCAGCAATCAATTCTTTTGATAGCATTATTGTATCAACAGTACTTATATTTAGTTGGTTTCTAGTCGGAAAACTTCCTTTCTGCAGCAGCAGAACTATGTGGTAGTGACAAAATATTAAATACGAAACTCGTGAGATTTTTAAAACATTGTTCTCCCAACCCATTTTTTTGCAATGAGACTTTTTCCCAAAAATCTATAATATCCATATCAGGCTGAAGGCCGATGTTGCTTAGCCTCAACATTTTCCATTCTGTATTAACATCTTCCGAGTTTCCTTCAACCAAATACGGAAATGTTGAAAGTAAAGGCAACAACGAAAGTTCATCATTTGAAATAACTTCAGTTGGAGTTATTATAGACAGATATTGCAAATCTTTTCTGGAAAAATCAAATCGCTTTTTAAATTGAACAATAAGCTCAACATAAAACTTTAAAATATATTCTTTAACTTCAATCACTTCGGATTGACAAAGACCGGGCTTTTTCAGAAAGGTTTCTGTATTATTACCAATAAAGATTTGATCTATATTCAAAAACATGTCCTACTGCGCCTTGCTTATGTTTTCAAACGTAATTTTTTCGTCGTTATAGTTATTTAGTTTTTCAAAATCCGTTAAAATTGCATCTACATCTAAGTTTTTTACAACACTGTTTTTCATAAAATTAGATAAAATAAGTTTAACCCTCAAACCGGCAACTTTGAAATAGTGATCAGAAATGGTTGGGAATTTTTTTCTGGCATAACTTGGGCATGATAAACTCAATGTCGTCATCTACATACCATTTTGTCGCTTCGTTTGACTTCCAGGTGAGATAAACGAAACAGTGCCTCCAGGCACTCATAGCGGTTAAAGCAAAAAATATGAACATATAGAAATTTTATTAAGTACCAACGGTTTTATTCCAAAAAGTTTAGCAATGCAATGGAATCTAGAAAAATGTGTTACTTTTTTGAGTGCTATTCCAACAAGCAATTTTTTGTCGCAGTTCAAATAAATATAAATTGCATACTTCTCAAATACATTGAGTTTGCGACTTTTTACAAAATTCGCACCATTTTTTCCACTTTCTCGAGCCATTTAGGAAGTTGATTGTTACCATTGAAACGAACGTCATCAACATGATATACAGATTTTCTGTCAACACTCAGAGCAGCGGGTTGCGATTCATCTTGTGGAGTAGAAGATTGACTTGTTGAAGATGGGCCACCAACCGAACGCGTTTGAGTGTTGCTCACAAGACCAGCATAACGGATAAAAACGGCGGTCATTGCGTCCATCCCCATCTCGGAACGACGGGAATCTTTTTATGACTTCAAACCGTTTCAATGGCATCGTTTTGCGAATGGGTTCGAATGCATTCTTCATTAACTAGCTCTCTAAATTCGGGGAGCGATAAACTGACATGTATAAATGAATGCCGATGTACTGGCAGATATCATCGACATTCACATTGAATCTTAAGTTTATATTCTGATTAATGTGTAAAAAATTACGTTCTTTAACTTCCCAGTAATTTTTCTCTATGCACAATATATTTAATGTATAGCGTGTATATTTGCTTGTAGAATAAGTACTTACGCTCACACTTTATTCTGGTCGTGTAAATAGTNGATGTACTGGCAGATATCATCGACATTCACATTGAATCTTAAGTTTATATTCTGATTAATGTGTAAAAAATTACGTTCTTTAACTTCCCAGTAATTTTTCTCTATGCACAATATATTTAATGTATAGCGTGTATATTTGCTTGTAGAATAAGTACTTACGCTCACACTTTATTCTGGTCGTGTAAATACTTGAGGTTACGGGGCTTATTGCAATGCTTGCAATTGCACAGAAGAGTTGATCTATTGCAACACGCACGCTCGCAAAGGCACCAAAAAAGCTGTAACAAACTTAAAACTTGCACATTATTGCCCTGGAATTTAATGGGCTATAAACTGAATACTCAAGAATATTCTAAAAAATCTGAATAAAATGTTGAAAATCTAGCTAAAACTTTATTGATTTATATTGTGTTTGTTATATAATGAGCTATGCTTTTTTGGAAAAATAATACATATTAAATAAAATAAAATAAAACCAAAATATTCAAATAAAAACGATTTTTACAACTAATCTTTTGAATAAAATTGAGTAAATATTTTTTCCGCTTTTCATTGACGGTAAGTTTTGTGGTACCTTTGCAGCCGAGTTCATGAAAAAAGCTCCGCTTCGCTTCGTTCAGTGTGGACACCAGCAGCTTCGCTTTATTCCGCCCTGCGCCCTTAATCAAAAGTGCATGTATAAAATGATTTTTATATTAAAGATCGGAATGAATTCGATTCTAATGAATTTTAAATGTGCTCTGTCGAAATGACATTTTGATATGCCTTACGTACATACATATGTACATTTGTATACAATACAAGTTTAATAAGAACAATTCTGTGTATATACATTTGGAAAAGACGTTTCTGGGCAGCAAATGACGTTTTTTCAGACCAAGAGGGACGTTTTCTCATGTGGAAGACCTGGCAACACTTACCGGATCAGAGCTAATACAAAATTGCACAAAGAGAAGACGAGAGTAAAAGGAAATGCCGAACAAATGAGTTTAGCTTCCCATCTTGCAAACAAAAAATGGTATGTTATATGTAGGGATGCCCAAACCAGCACATATGTGTCGCAGGCGACTGCGCGTGCAAAGCTTTGCACAGCGGTGCTGGCAAGCGAGGAAGCAAAGAGTTATCGGAAGGGTAAAATGAAGTCAACAGAATAGTGAGATTGTATGTGTGACAGTGATGGAAAATGAGTGTGCATTGTTAGGGACACGAATTTCGATACGATACGATACCATATCGATACTTTTGGCATTCGATACCGATATTTTCTACTCGATAGTTTTAAAACGATATTTTTTGGAATCGAGTACCAGAACCCTAGTATCGTATCGAATGTCATAAACTCACATTCCAACACTGAGGGAGAAGCGAAACCTGCGAAACCTATATTCAGATAAATTTTTTGGATTTTGGTTTCGATATTTAGAATATCGAGTCTTTTTATTCCGATATTAACGGGTACCCGATATTTTTAAAGCGATACTTTAAATGAGTACCATATCGATACTTTCGGTTCGATATCGTGTCCCTATGCATTGTGCCATTTTCGGCCCTTTCGGAAGCAGCCGGCACCTTCAGCACAATCGATTGATTTTCGGCACTATTTTTGCGTATCTCAATGCAACTAATAAATATTTCTTTCGGATCCGCAATTAAAAATATTTTTTTTACATTTAATCGTATGTGCTTAAACTGATAAATGATATAAACATAGAAACGCAAGCAGAAGAATCCCGCTTCCACATTACGCATATGCGCTTAACATTTTTGTTTAAACAAATTTGTCGAAATATCATCTCTAAAGCAAATATTAAATATCATTTAATATATACTTTAGATTCAAATAATCATTTTAAGTGGTAAGCGAGACCGAGATGTTTAAATGATCGAGATAGTACATTCAATTCGCGAAGATTTTTGAGAACTTTTTTCGTTGAAGGTGTTGCACTTTTTTTCCATACTGAAATTTGTGTACATCATTTATCATTGTCTAAGAAAAACTATAAAATAAAGCTTAACTTGAAATATTGAAATAAAAAACAACATCGCTACACGCGCATTCATTATAACATAAA